TGAGCAAGAAACTAGACATCGGTTATACCTTTTCATAAAAGAAAACCAAAGTTAACTCGGTGAAATGCGAGAAAACAGCCCGCGCACATGACGCAATCTGTCCACTTACACAGATCACAGCTTCGAATTATAAGCATGACGCGTACACTGTCCTATAAGTGCTGAAATTGGGCTGGTGACAACCAGTCACTTTGGAGAATTTTTTCATAGTTTTGAGTACACTAAAAATTGTGGTCAAATTCTTCCAGGGGGAAGAAGAACTGTAGAATTTGCATAATCCTAACTGTGTGGCTTAAAGGATCTTTTGCACACAGCGTCCAAATAGCATCTGGAGGCACGGTTCAAAGCCCGTTGAAGCCTGAAGCTTATTTTTTCAATTGCAAAAATTGCAGTCTACCGACGGAGATCGTTGCTTAACCTGATATGTTTAAAACAATAGCTTAACTTACTTTTGATGAGGAACAATAGAAAATGCACCGTGTCGTCTTCATCCGTATATCCATACCCTTTCTCCAGCAGGATTGAGCTATTGCCAGTCATCCAAGCAGGACGGCTATACCATTGTAACATATGGATATCCCAGAGAGTGCCCTTTGTCTTGTTTGTTCCATTGTACACGTGGAAAGCTATGCTATATACATTGTGATAGATTAGCTGCAATCCTATCGTATATTTCGGTGGAACGGTAATTATGGCCTTGCAGGCTGCTCTGCTCCGTAATGTTAAAACCAGATAATACACCACACTAGAGTCACTAATAAATGTTTCACTTTCAGTGCATATGTCCATAAACTTCTTCACGGTCGCATCTGCCATTTTTAACACGTGTGTGTTGAGAGCATTCCAGTTGTAACGATACGAAAATCCGTAGCCTTTTGTGTTTACGACATTTGTACTCAGGAACTCAATAAATGGAGACTCCAAACGTACTCCATCCGACTCGGTTTCAGCTATCGTTGAATTCTCGATTTTATTTGAATCTTTTAAGGGGTCTGGATACATAATCTGGAAACCAACGGAAGCAGAATTACTCACAAAGACACCGCTGATCACGTGACGTGGGAGGTCCACTCTGAAGGCGATTCCGGGGATAGTCAGGTCGTCTCTATATGGAAAACCTGCATATCGCACCTCAACATTGCTTAAGATGCTTTCCTTTGAAGTCACAGCGAGATGTACGCCAGCCCAGTAAGGAATTTTGCAAGCGACATACAAAACATTTCTCGTGCATGATGAAGATGAAATCCAGTTCCTTTTGTTACAAATGGTGATGCTGTCTCCTTGATCTGTATCGCATTTGACATTATGTAGGAATATTTTCTCTTTTCCACTTGGGTTATGGTAATAAGAGTTTACCGGTTCGTATCCCAATTGTCTGCATACTATGTCATCTTCGTGTCCATAGGTATGCACACAAACTGGCATCCACGTGCTATTGATCCATATCTCAACCACCCCTTCCCACGGAGCAGGACCTCCGACGAGTCTAATGTCCTGAAGCAATGGTTCCTTCGGAAGGAACTTCACCCGTTCTTTTTTATTACCTTTTATGATAACCTTTCCTTGCACTAGGAAAACGCTCTTCAATGGAAATTCTAAAGTGATGTTTCCTTCGATAAACAAAACGCCGTCAGACAATATTGTGACGTCACTGATAACTCGGTAGGCATCATTTGGGTTTGTAATATTGAGGACATGATTTAATGTTCCTCCTAAGTTGTTGCCTCGAAGAAAACAGAGAGGTCTGACACCATCGAGTAATTTAGGGCTGGTAGAATTGTTGGAATCTAAAAATGGATAATACTGGATCTGTGCAAGTTCCACTCGATCTTCAAAGTCAAACAATCGGTCTTTTATTTTGCATTCATCTCTTGTTCCCCACCAGTTTTCTTCCGCAAGAAGAACGTGTTCACGGTCTTTAAGCAGTGCTGCTAATTCGTGAGAGAACAAAGGGTTGATAAATGAATTGTACTTTATAGTAACATTGCCTCCTTTTACAGCTAAAACTGCCTGCGTTTTGGTACGAAGGTAATTGCTGGAAAACAGCCGGATTCTTTGATTGTCTAAAAACGTATTGTTTCTGATGGTGACACGGCATTTTGTGGGTAACGTTTCGCAATCAACGAAAAATATGTTCTCCCCTTTATTCTTCGAAAAGATGTTCGATGAAACCTGCAGATTGAAGGGTGAGGAATTCTCATAGGAACACCTTCGCCCATGTCTCACTGTCAGAGCAGGTCCACTGTTCTCGTAATATATGTTATTAGCCAAGACAGCAGATAACACGTACCATTCAGGGCCATAGATATCCAAACCATATTTTTTGTTTCCCTTTACTTTATTACCAGTGAATAAAAGTTGAACGCTTCTCTGCCATCCATCGTTTCCCCAACCGCAATCTGCAGGATAGAGCATACAACCACCGAGAAAATTTTTGAAAATTGTGGAGTTTGCAACCTTAATAATATAGTTCTCCGGGCGTTGATCAAATCTATACGTGATATAAAACAGCACACCGTATTGAATGTTCCCTGAAACATTACAGCTTAGAAGATGAACTGATCGAAGACGAGCTGATTCGGTATCTAAAAACCACAATCCGTTTCGTTTGTTGCCATCAGCAACAAAACCCTTTAAGACAACTTCCCCTCCTTGATTTTCTACGTAAAAACCATCCCTGCCGTTACCAAGAGAAGACGAAGACTCTATGTTTATGTTGGTATTTCCAAATTCGAAAGCATAACCAGATCCGTAATTGTTTGAGGTAGAAATGTTCTCCAAGTTAAGTCCTCCTCTAGAAAAGTAGGTAGCGTAAACTCCTATATTTGAGTTTCCATCAAATTTACAAGAGCTGAAATTTAATCTGGTATCGGATAATCTCGTAAACAGAGCCCCATTTTGCGAATTTTCAAGAGACAGTACTTCCGCTAGTCGAACATAGCAGTAGCTAAGTGCTTGTAAGTATACCCCTTCACCGATACAGTTACGAATAAACTGCGAGTTGTAAATGTTGATTGTGGAGTTGACCTGGTTTAAGATGTGCAATCCTTGACCGCCATTTTCTTCAACAAGGCTGTCAGACATTTGGAATGAAAGAGTTCCAGAATCGACTACGATTCCTGACGCTTGGTTTTTCGAGCAATTGACGTTTGTTAATTCTAAAGTACCTGTTATCTCGGTTATATTAACACCGTTATGTTTGTTATGCAGAAACATGGACGTTACAACAGAGATTTTTCCTTGTGTGTTGCTGACATAGAGTCCATTGTAGTTGTTCCCTATCACAGTTGCCCGAGAGATTCGAGAGCTACCAATCAAGTTGTCAATGGTAATACCAGACTTAAAGTTGTTAGAAAAGGTACTGTTTGATATCACAAGTGATGAAGTCCCGCCTACAAATCATCAAAAGCCAATGGGTTAATGTTACTCATCAAAAAAATTTATAGACTTATCGTGGGTAGTCATTTTGTCTTCGTATTGAATAGTTAATTAATTCTCTTGCTTGATTCTCTATTGAGTATCTAGCTTACCTATTGACTAGCTAACTCACTGACCGACTGACTGATCGAACAAACCACCCACCGAAAGAACAAGCGAACGATCGAATAAGCGACCGACAGACCGAACGAAAGGACTGATCGACCGACCGACTGACTGACGGTCTAGTCGACCAAAGCAAAAATTGACGAGGTTACTGATGAAGAGATTGAACAAATACCTTTTTGAATGAGTGATGGACGGCTCAAGCGAACAGCAGATACACCAATTCGTCGTATTTAAAGACATAATTATAAATATATAGCTACCTTGATCTTCCATAACGACCATTTCCAAGTTAGAACTGCCTTTAGAGTAGAAGGAGAGTTCCAATATAGAAGTAGAACCAGTCTTAAATGTCTTTCCATTGTAGTCACTTGTAATTCTGTGCAGTCTGGTTTTGATAGCTGTGCTTGCATCGGTAAAATTGAGCTCAAATCCACTTCCATTAATTATTCTCAAATACACAGAGATCTTTCTTCCCGGTGAAGCTCTGAAAATCTTAAGAATGCAAATGTTTGTTTTTATTCGTTTCTTACACTGGAAGAGTTTTAATGAAAAAAGGAAGCCGCGTACAGATAAATGTCTCTAGGTTACAAATTACAGCTATTCCTACAGAGGTGCTCAACCGGATAACTCCCTTCTATGAAACCTGGCTCAAAATTTTTACTATTTATATCTCTTTTACGAATACTTTCCTGCGAACTGACTACGTTTGACAGATGAAAATGGAAGAGGAGGCATAGATGTAAGTGTCATCTTCCTCTACCCTTCAAAGAAAACTTATTTTTTCAATCGTTGGCTATTAGTTTTAGATGTTTGAAAGCTGGCGTCTGCATATGTAGAGGAATGAAACTCCTCCTGACCAGGGGTTGTCTTTTTTGCATTGTGATCTTTCCCATTGTACATGAAAAATCCTCCCCTTCGAAAAAAAAACCACTACCTATAACAGGGAAGAAGTGTCTAATTCACATTATTTCGATAATCATCAAAATACTTTTTTTCTTTCAATTGTAATTAAATAGCCAAGGAGCCAGAGCTTTCAGCTCATGGAGACCGTGTTGCTTTCCTCAAAGGATTCATCTGGTTTGATAGAAAAATTAAATTCATCGATATTGGAAGCTTGTCGCTCTACCTCGTAAAATCTTGAATGAAATATGTACCAAAATGTGACAAAAACCTGTACATTTTAACTAAAGTTCGGGAAACTTGAACCAGAAATCAACTAAAAAAACCTGTTTTCGTAAAGGTGTTGGGTATTTATAGATATTCTACAGTTCACATTAGAGTGATTTTGAGTTCAAAGCGTACTCTGTACTTCTTCTCACCAAATCACTCAGACATTTTAACTAAAACACTCGATCCTACCTTAGTACAATTAACCGGATGATGATTTCCAGCGGCATTTAGGAGCAAAGGAAATGAAGCTTCTTCTGGAGTGACAGAACAGAAATTCACTGCCAGGCGCTTATAGATAAGGCCTCCTCCAAATCGTGCACTCTGAACTGTGACGTTTTCAATGACAACATTACCACAGGAGCTCTCGATGTTCACGCCAGCAAGTTTAGGCCCCAGGATTAAAGAATCGATAACGGCCAAAGGTTTGACAAGTTCTTTTATATTTAAGCCAGAGGCGCTATCGTTGATTGTAACATTAAGTAAATCTGGAGCGTTTTTCACGGCATTTACGCCCTCGAGAGCATTCTCAATGTACACGTGCTCCAGCGAAGAGCTTCCTTTCATCTCAGAGGAATTCGTCGGCTCGAAGTAAATACCTTTCCAGTAAAAAATCTCAGCCAAATATGGCAAGAGAGTGTCACATTCAATGCCAACGTCCCGGCTGTGAGCTGAAATATTTGTCGTTGTAACGTAAAAAAGAGGTGATAAAAACAGAAATGTGGTTAGTGGCCTAAAAGTAGCCGATTTTGTACCCTGACGCTTTTACGAAAGTGTTTTTTGATATGGTCTCTGGTACCTGGATACAACCTCTTCCTCCCTTGATCTATGTACTGTTTCTCTTTACATTAATATAATTGTATTAGGCTTTCAAGTCGAGTGGGTGAGTTGGCCATTTAAGACAATTTATTTTCACATGGAGACTTAAAGTCCCCTACCCGATAGTCACACGAAGTGTTCAGCTTGATAGTGTTGGTTTCAAAGCAAAAATTTCATATAAAGAGATCCAAATTTACTCAGCCTGATGTCCTAGAAGATCAAAAGAAAGGCGTACACCAATCATTAAAACGCGTAACGAAATCTGAACTTGCAATTGTGATAATTCAAGCGTGAGTAGGCCAACAAGGACAACTTAACCTTTAACCCCTAAGAGTGACTAGCATCTAATCTCTTCTTACAATATCACCACTGAATCACACATTAATGTCATGAGAATAAACAAAATGATCACCAACTAAAGAAACTCTTGATTGTTGGCCAAATTCTCCTTGTCATCACCTTAGTAAATGTACAGAGAACAGTATGGAGAATACAAATACTAATGTTTTCTCGAAGGAAAGGTTGTCTCCGGTACCCGGTTCTACAGAAAGGTGACTAAGACGTTAAGAAGCCGAGCATTTGTCTCCTGTACTTGATTACTGGTGAGACAGGTTTAGTTACATTAATTAAATAGACTTTACCCGACCAGATGTGGGGATATATTGTTACCGACATATTTTGTCGGTAATCACTTGCTTTGAGGCCAAAAAGAGAACGTTTCCATGGAAAGGCACATGCGGCAAACAACAAAAGCATTGCTTAGGACTAAAATGAACTTACAACATGAATACGGATCACTCATAATCCATCTGTAAGAACAATCCCATAGACTCTTTTCAGTTCCTTTACAGCCAACTGTCTTCATCATCACGGGGCCGCTGCCGGGATCATAGTAATACCGCTTTCCCCCAAGGAATCCAAGATGTCTGCAGGCCACGTGCGTTTCTGTGAGATCCCAATATCCCCAGTCGTTGCAGACAGTCCCCCACCTTCCATTATACTGCAGCTGAAGGCGCCCGTTGTTGTAGGACGATCCATCTACAAGTCTTATCCCGTGACTATAGAATAAAGCCCCGTCTGTTTTATTGCAAAAACTTGTTTCTCCACAGGGAACCGCTCGGAAAGTAATTCTCTGCGAAGGTTTCCCTTTTGCGTGAAATGATCCACGAACACGAATCCCCACAGATGGAACAAAATTCACAATTGCACCAGGTTCTATAGTTAGAGTGGCATTTTCTGGGACAACAAGGTCACTGGTGACCAAGTATGGCCCATCTGCACGCGCAAGGGTCTGGTTACCAGTAACAGTGCCATTCAACTGTCGTGAAATATTTATCTCGCTCTCACAAAGTCCATATCCGAGAAAGATGGCCAATAGAATACAGTATTTTAGAAACATCGTGTCTACTCTGATCTATTTTTAAGGAAGAGTAAGAATGAACTGGAATCAATAGACATAAAAGTTCATCTCAAGACGAAATAAACATTTATTTCCCAAATGTTCACCTTTTTAAATGCTGTCACAGACCCTTCGTAGCGTAGCATAATTCGTATCTCAACTTTTACGTTGCTAGCTTCGCCAAATTACGGTGGGGGAGTGCAGGGAAGGGGGAGCGGGGGGGGGGGGGTAATCTACCCTCCTTTTACCCTGCATTGGTACGTCCGATGACTTTGACACCTTTGAGAACTAGGGAGAAGGCGACTATATATCCAAGCTAGGTGGTTGGCGCTCTCAAATTGATGGGAGTCAAGCGACACATCCCTATCTACAGGAAAATTGTACATTGGTGGCAGAGTCGCGAAAGATTTGGGACGAAAAATCAAAGTTAGAGAGACTAGTTCCTGCGATTGAAATTCTTCACGCCTAACGCATGGAGATCGGGACCAGAGATTTTTAGCGAGTGCTCTGTTTTGTCCAAGGTATAAACTAAGTTTCCTTAAATACTCCGAGTTGAATCTAAACTTGGTGTCATATCCCGCAATAAGGAAAAGTGACATGACACTTTAAACATTAATTGCGTGACTGAAGCGAGATCTAGATACGTCATGTTGCATTTTTGTAACGCTCGTAAGCTCTTGGAGATCATCCAAACCAAAAATCAGTGCAATTTCCCGCCTCTAACCACCTAAAAAGCGTGCCCGATTTCCGACATTCGCTCATCATCTGCCGTCGACAAATGATGTGGACCGAAGAGGTTCGTCACAATCCCTTTCGATGAACCGTATTAAATTTCAAATTAATCACTACCTGAGTTCAGATTTCACCCGACCCTCCCAACGCCAGTACATAATGTGTTGGTCGAAAGACGGTACAAACCAGCCCTGGCGTGGAGAGGGTAAGTGAACTTATTTATCTTTCCGTCATCAAGCGGATTTTGGGGATGAAATGATACGATTTGCGGAATTTATGAAACATTTCTCGAGATCTCTCGCGTCTTGCCGAGATCGATCGCTGCAAATTACAAATAGTGAAATAACTAATAATAAATAATATCAAATAACTGACGTCACGCGGCCTCAAACCCACAGGGTTGTCGGGGCTGTCCTGGTGTACCGGTACACGGGGGAATTCCTATTGTTTTCATATCCATACATGGAGTTGTGACGCAGTTCGTTAATGTTTCGTTCCTTTGTGTACCGGTACACGAGGACACAACTGGGTTGTCTGCCTGTGGTCAATAGATAGAATGTCTGGTACTTAAGTAAACTAGCCTCAAGGTTGCATTAGCTCACAAGAAACAGATATCATCACTGCTCAATGATTACCTCTGTATAAATGTTTCACGTTGGGACGCCGGCGCAACCTTAAGCTCGTCCAACTTCACACTGACTGAAGTGCAACGCTGTCCAAGTGACACAATGAGGTCATTGTGAGTGAGACAATTAGTTTCCATGGAGGCAAAAATAGGTAATAATGAGACAGGAAATCCCGATAGAGATCGATATTGGCTTCACCAAGTCGAATACAATCAGGAGCAGTTATGTAAATTGAGGGCTCAGTGAATACCTTAGACAAACACGAGCTACCGCTAAAAATGCACCAGTCTCAATTGTCTTGTGTTCGGCGTCAGAATCGGAAGTAGCTTTGTGTCTGCGCCTTTCCGAACTATTTAGAAATGGCCATTTCACTCAGGAAATATTAACTGTGCATTCTTTATTGATGTATAAAACTTTACCGAAGAACGGAGACTGCGTTACAATTTCCGCTTCGAAGCGGGCCGAGGACAGATATAAATACTCGAATCAGTTGTAAAAATTAATGCAGAATTATGCCCCTCTGAAATCCGTATAGAGTTAGTCTTTCCAATTTGCCACCCCTCTAAGGATGCTTTTTCGTTAGTCAGTTCTCGGAACAATCGAAGTCGATCACTAATTTCCTGGGGGCAACAACAAATCAAGAAATAAAGTGGAAATCTCGGTGCTGACCTCATTATTCCTGCTTAACTTTGGAAGTGCCTTGGTTTCACTTACGTTCGAATTCATTCATAGAAGTCCATGCGCACGCACTATGCTACTGTCATTAGTCTTGTAAACAACAAAGATAAAAATGCTTATGCGCTCGGTGAAGAAACAGATTCCCGTGCATAAACGAGTATGGCGCTAAAGTCTGTCAACATGTTATCGACAAAAATTTTGGTCTTTTATGCATAAATCAGATTCGGAACGAAATTTACTGCAGCCATCCAGCCGCAAGTAAAAAATTGATTAAAAGCGACTTCAACAAGGACAACTGTAGCCAGTTTTCACTCCGTCTTGGGCACTGATTCTGGGAAATTTGGTTGATAGATTCCACGAATCCGAAGCACCAATTTGTCCATATACGTTCCAATGTACTTTCCGTTTGTCAAGAACTGTAACTGACTTACAATATTTTCCAATTACATTAAATAGATAAAAACATAAACCCAAAATGAATAAAAGCAAAATAATTTCAGCCCAGAAATGAACGTCTCCCTTGGTAAATGGTAAAGATTGTCCACAACTAAGCTCTAAACACACGCCGTATAAGTCAGACCACTGTGCCTTTCATCAATTTTTCCTAATGGTTACAGACGAAAAAAGGGACTTGTTTTCTCGTAATTGGAGAAATATGTCAACTCTGAAGCTTGATACAAAACAACACAGACGAAAAATAACAACGAATTAATCTCATCTCAGAAGTAGCACACGTTTGATAATCCACGAATGTCGTGATATTCATACAGTTATGTAAGATTTTACATGGGAGTTTTGCGAATGAAAATTGTAATTTCTCTCGATACCTTTCGCCTTTTCTTCTACTGGTGAGAAATTGCATCTTTGAAAATCCGCTATACAGTTCTATTGTGGAAAATGCCTTAAAAGGAGTCGAACGAAAACTGTCGTAGATGATCAAAGCTGGTTTAACTTTCGGGTGAGTATAGAAACCCGCATATCAGCAGTAACAAATGGTAGTTCAATTTGAAATTATTGGTTCGTCGCTTTTCCCTTGGTGATCGACTAAAATGTACGAAGACCATTATGAGAAAGGCGAAATCAACGTTGTGCGCTCGAAGAATTTCTCAAGGGAACCGTAGTTCTCAAGAAGCAAGTGACCTTATAAAGCAATTCCCGGAAATGTAGCCCTTGCTATGTCTCATTTGTTTACAAATTACGAAGACAAACTACGGGGAAAATATATTTCAAGCCATCGAATACCATTTATATTTTTAATTGAAAACCTCAGCGTGATAGTGCAAAGATCACAAGTTACGTTGATCCAGTGCATGCTACCTCAAATTCAACAGTTTCCTCATAAACACGAGGTGACCTGCATGTCTCCAAATATGATTAACAAGTCTCTCTAATCTCAGAAACTCATTCGATCTCAATATTCAAACACACGTGTCAATCATAAAACTTTTAGGTCTCTGCCATTTCTTTGAACTTCTATTTCTACAGAGTATATTATTTGACAATTTGTTCTCTTCACTGATCATCTTCGCATCACACAATGAGTTAGTCAACGAACATTGAATGTTACAAAATTGGACGTCGTGTCTTTGTTACTCAAAAGCTGTGACCTCTTTTCTTGTGATTGAGCAGCAATTGTTTATTTCAGCCTTGAAGATACTTTGCTGTAAACCGTAAGTAAAATACTCCGTGTGATTAAAATACTTCGTGTAAAGAAGTATAATAACTTGTTCCTATGGATAAAGTACTTCGTCCTAAGCGCCTTGAAAGTGACCCGAATAGAAGCGAGGCCTCCAGGGAATGGAATAATTGGAAAATAACGTTCGACAACTTCGTAGCATATTTCGTAGCATGCCATGAGCATAAACTGTATTATAATTCATTATCATTCTGGAGAGCATTAAGAAAATGAGAAATGAAAAAAATGACAAAAAGTAGTCTCAAAAATTCCAAAAAAATATATTTTAACCCAACGAAGTGATAAATATACTAATTACTTTTGACAATGAAGGGAAAAGAAGTACCAAATATCCAATTATTGTTGGACGCGCAGAATTAGCAGATAAACAAGCCCTTCTCTGGCAAAAAGCAAAAGTATTCTGAACATCTATCTTGTCGAAAAAGATATTTTTTATTGACTGCACAAGTGTATGAGAACGGTTTGCAAACGTAAACATTGTGAGCAGTTCACGAAATGCCCAACTGTCCAACTGCAGACACGAGAGTGGCTTCTTTCCCTAACGTTTTTCTTTACATTCTGTACTGTATTTAATATTTTCCTCAAACAGAAAAACAATTCTTGATCATGTAGCCTGATCATTCGGGTGAGACTAGTGAAAGCCTTCCTAGATATGTAAATATGTTTACCTGTTCGTGCAATAGGGGAAATGTAAGCCGGATTTTCATGGGATTAATAGGTCGCATTCTCAACCTAAAAATCTTATCTTCCATTTTATTCAAATTAGTTCATTCAATTAGTTTTATTCGAGAATAGAGTAACTGGTAAATATACTGAATGACAATGGATAAGAGCCGAATAGAGTAACTGGTAAATATACTGAATGACAATGGATAAGAGCCGAATAGAGTAACTGGTAAATATACTGAATGACAATGGATAAGAGCCGCATAATTTTGCGACTCACGCGAAAAACAAGAACTTTTCCTTTTGTACGTCCCTGATGCTGTAGAGAATGCGTCTTTCGGTAATTTCATTTGTGTAAGCTTTTGTCAAGGATTAACCGCAGAAAACGAAGAAGTAATTATTTTCTCTCTCTCTTTGTTAAAAATCGATAAACCGCATCGCAGCTTTTATCTAGAAAGTACGAACTCAAGGCAAAAAGCGGATGATATACAACTTGTGTGCTTAACGTTATCCGGATATAAGTTCCTCGCACATTTACGACTACTTAATTGAGAAAAAAAAACTTTTGCTGAACGCATAAAATAAACACATGAAAATAGACACAGACAATGAATTCTTTGAATTTTTGTCAAGCGATTGAACCTTGGTACGCAGTGAAATAACCGCGAGATCTAGCGAATTAGCTTTGTAAGTTTGCGACACGGATTGTAATGAACGCAATTTATTTCTCTCATAAACTTTTTAAATGAGGTCTATAGTAGAAGTAAACTCGAAAAAATAGATAACTAACTCAACCAGAACCGATTTTAAACACTGAATAACGCAGGGACTTAAATCGGCTAAGATGCATACACAATAACTCAAGCTTTCCCATCTCATCGCAGAAATCTATCTGTAGTGTTTCCCCTTTCCATCAGCATTGAGTGTAATTAATTGCATGCCTAATATGATATCCTAAACTTATCCCCCAGATCTGAAGCAATTCGCCCAGTAACTTTGAGAGCAAAACAAATCCGCTCCTATGTAACAGTTCTCTGATGCGGAAGTCACCTAAGGAAAACTCGGAAAGCTCCTTCACGAGTGAAAACAATAAAGTAGTGACAATTCTAAAGTAAATTTCGTTTCGTAGTTTCTAACTTTCACCACCAACCTGCACTTGCTGCTGTTTATTACGGACGCTTGTAGAATCTTCCCTCAGGTCATCTGTTCGCTTGGTCATCGCTCGATGCACATCCTTTGTTAACGCAGGAACTTTTATCCAGTCTGACACATGGCATTTTCTTTTCCGTATAAATTACCTTATGGTTCTTGTGTGATTAAAAGACTTAACTTTGAAAATTAATTACGCAGGAACTTTTATCTAGTCTGACACATGGCATTTTCTTTTCCGTATAAATTACCTTATGGTTCTTGTGTGATTAAATGACTTAACTTTGAAAATTAATTACGCAGGAACTTTTATCTAGTCTGACACATGGCATTTTCTTTTCCGTATAAATTACCTTATGGTTCTTGTGTGATTAAAAGACTTAACTTTGAAAATTATTTGCAATCTATTAGATGTCCCTCGGTGAAATGTCACAAAAGTCGTTTACCAATGAATTAAGGAGATCATGACTTTTCAAGTGAACCTAAGATACGATGTTCTGTAAAATGTCCTTAAACAGAGGGAGTAATTGATAATCAAAGTAAAGCTGTCCCGGTTTCTTTTTATTTTGTTTTGCTGCTGATTTTATTGCCAAGAATTGCTTCTCACCCTTCCCTCTCCAACTACCCTTCAGGCCCAGTCCTTCGCGTTAAGATTGGAACGCCTAGCAAAAATTGTCTCTGTCTTTGCAGCACGATGCCAGTTAACAACAGGAGAATTGCAGGACCTGAAGTCACCCAACCAGATATTTTTACGGTATAAAAAGCATTCGATAAACCTCTGGTACTAAAGGAATAGAATCCTCTTCTTTTTCAACTTGCGTTGTGTACCTTGGTTGAATGATTTTGTCTCTTACTTCAGATTAGTGAAGATGGTTTACGAAGAGATGGCCGGAAAACAGGCGAACTTCGACCGATGTGTAAGTTGACCCTAGCAACAGATAAATTAAAGTAGTTCATAGAAAACATGAAATATAAAGGAGAAGTTTCTTGAAGGTGGTCATCTGTACAAAGCACTAGGTACTGAAAACTTAAAACAGATATTTGTGTCGCCTGTGTGAAAAAGTAGTCTGAGGAAACAATTCTTATTGCAAAGATATTATTCAGACTCCAAGGAATTAATTTGGTAATGCATAAAATTCTGAATGGACTGCTCTAAGTCGGAGATCAGATCAACTAGCTTAGTATGATAGTCACTTTAACATTTAAGTAAATGGTGTAATTAAGTGTGTCTGTTTTGGTTGATATTGAGGTACTATTATTTAGTTTTACTGTTAGTATTAATGGTAAGTTCCTCTTTTACTACATTTTACAGTTTTGTATTTAGGGGTAGTTAGTCAAGCCAGGGGCTCAGAGGAACACCAAAATTACATGTGCTGTGTATTCTTACAAGATTATGTAATGGAACTTGTACATGAAAATCTCCAGAAGTTTCAAAGGCCAAAGCTGAAGGGTAAACAATTCCCACCTGGGACTTTGCCCTTTCAAAAAATTTGGATCCCTTGAATAAAATATTATTGTTTTCTTTGTGGCTTTGTGTTTCAAATTGAAATAAATAATTGAAAATCAATGTCAAGGTTTGTGACAGTCAGGTTGATGTGTTCAAAATGATACAAAGTTGCCAATTTGCTCTTTGATTCGCTATTCATTGCTGACTTCACAGGAATGCAATATTTATAGAAACATGTTCATTGATTGTTAGTACTGGACACAAAGAAAGGAATGGCTTGGACTCAGTGTTAGATATGGGCCGAGAGAATCACAGAGACAGCAAGAGTTTAGTGAAAGGCTAATAGTATAATTTTATAAGCCATTATACAATAATGTACATTTAACAGTACAGCTAGTATGTAGAATGCTTAGTAAAAGTTCTTTTGAATAATAAGCAGTTTAGAAGATGTTTATCTTAGATATTGTGTTAGTTTGGTTTTTAGTGTATTTTTTGAATGTGATCATTTGTTGACTTTGACTTTTGTTTAGTACCAGACACAAAAATTTCAACATGATTCAAGGTAATGAAATTAAAACCAGATTGAAGAACTTTTAATAGGAAATTAATGATAGAGTCAGCAATATATCCACCAAATATACTGGATTTATTATTATATCAATGAATTATAATGCACTGTATGATGTTTTGATGTTTTGTTTATTCTTTCTTTTTAACCCTTAACCTCCCAGAAGTGATTTACATATAACTTCTCCCTATAATATTCATACATTATTAAGCAAACAGGTAATGAGAATATTCAAACTTAGACGGGTAGAAGTTATTATCTTCATCTATCACCAAATTCTTGTGACTAATTTACAAGGGAATGAGTCGAAGCTAGAAGGGAGAATTAACAATTATATCTTGGGAGTTAAAGGGTTAATGTATCAGAAATAATCTTGAAGTTTTGTTTTAAAGGGAAAGCTGACTTGTGAGTTCAAGTTTGCACCATTTTCATTCTGGCAAAGGTGACAACACATGCAGGTGATTACAACTAGTTGTTGTGATGGAAGATTATTAAAATAAGGAACTAAATGATTTGATGCAGCAGCTATAATATTTTTTTCATGTAAGATATAATTTGGATCTTTCTTAACTTTCTTTTATGGGAAGCTGGGTAATTAACCAAGAGGACCCTAGCTTTTTGTCCAGATTTCCTGAAAGTTTGCTGGCAACCATTTATAACCCAGAGCCAGATTGTTCAAAGCTGGGTTTAGATTACCCAGGATTAATGTGAAATCTGAATACAGATCTGAAAGCTTTAAAAGAAAATTCAGTATAATTCATTTGTCTAGAATGTGATTATTGGATTCTCTACAAAGAATAGAGAAAATTATCCTAAAGAGGCTTTTGAATATAGGAATAAAGAAACTTTGATGAAAATTTAACCTTGGGTTAGCACTAATTGACCTTCAAACATCTCAGACCTAGGTGGAGACTCCCTGAGGTAAATTCAGAAAGAGCAGCTTTCCCAAGTTTGAACAATTTTTGCCATCATAGCTGGTAGAAAGAAAGATATCTTAGCAACTACATCCTGTTAATTTTCTGGAAAAAGTGACCAAATTAGAAGCTTGTGTTTAGTAGTTAATCATGGATCAAGCTCCAACATTTTTATTTCTTTATTTTGAGGTTCAACGCTATTGATGCTCTGTTGTTTCCTCTTTCTCTTTCCTCTAAATTATGCTGTTATTCTCTCCCACTGACGCAGCACCACAGTTTCTTGAAAAACTTTCTCCCTTAGTTACAATCGCAGTTGCTTAGTCTCTTGAAAAAAAAAGTATTAGGTTTCCTGGAAGCACTTATATAAATCCTTAATTTTTGTGAGGAAACATGCAAATACTACCTCGTTTAAATTTTAAAGGGCACAATTTTTTTTAAGGTAATAAAGAAGGTCAAAAACGTGCGCTGGTTTGCAATTTCAGGAAGCCAGTTCAGTTTTCAGTTAGCCTTAATGAACTGTAAAACCTGCCAATCAGCTGAAAGCTAAAGCAATGAAACCAGTCCCGCTAAATAATGTTTGCAAATAATATTGCTTTTAGAGACAGACAGAAACAAGACAATTATTTTACTGTTGATAAGCAACATGAGAAACAATCAATTTTATGGACTTTTGCCCAGGGCAATTACCAAACTTAATGAAAAATGGCCCCTTTCGCAGCCAATCAGCATTCAATAAATGTGTCTATGTTTTAAAAAGTGAAATCAAGAGCTATTGTAATTTCACAAAGTACCGTAATATTCCCTTGAAACAGGCAGTGTGAAAGTAAAGTATGTTCTTAAAAAAAACAACGGAATGACCCAGCCAGGTCTTTACCCCAGGCCTCTCAAGCCAAACTTCGGCACGCTCACGATTTGGCCACCGTGCCTTCTACAATAGTCCTATTTACAATGATAAAAGTGTTGCACCATTTGTTAATGAAAAGAGCACAATTGAACATGCATGTATGCGTCTATGCTATGATAATTTCCAGGTAACTCTTCTTTGGCAGACTGTCATCTAGATTTCTACAACAAGAAAAGAGTTCTTAATCAAAGTATCAAAAAGAAAAAAACTATGTGGTATGTTCACCATACTTTGAAGCCCACTTAGACTGATATCACAATGCAGTGTCTTGAAGTGTTTTCAAAGAAAACAAAAATACGAAAACTGGAAGGTAATAATCATTGTACATGTCACATTACGGTAATTTCTTTTAGAATACATCATCAGTTCTTTAGCCAGCCCCACAAGATCCGCCGATCAGAATGGTCAACGTTAGTGTTGTTGCTTTTTTACTGCTGAAGTTTCATCCTGAAACAAAAAAATTAAGGAAGTCAAATCATGACAAAATTGGGCAAAAAGATAGTAAATGGTAACGCTCTAATTCGATGATCAATCAATTTATCAACTCTAGCTTGCTTGGGAGAAACATCTCTCTTCTGACAAGGAACACCTTATGGTAGGGACAAAAGCCTTCCAACTGTCCCCTTTCAAATTTCAAATGTTAACAGTCAACTATTTTAAGTTAATAATAACCCATGCCGAGAGAGCCATTTTCAGGGCAACAAAAACATCGTAGAGTTTAATCATATTGATCAACAAACACAGTAATCATGCACTACAGTAATCATGCTGCAAAACAAAGATACTATATCACTTTTGCCCCTATTGAGTCTGACTACATGAGAACATTCTAAGTAACGGGTGCAAAAATATAGTTAATCACACCTATTATTACCGGGCTGGAAACCACCCATTATTAATCGCCAAACAGATGGAAGGGGAAAAGGGGGTAAGGGGGAAAGGGAGAGTGGACAGAGTATAAAGGGAGAACTATATTTTGACTGCCAACAAGGGGGGATCACTCGAACACTACACAGCCTTAGTGGGGGATCAGGTAAATGTTCTTGTGACACAGCCAAATCCCTCCCATCTCCCCTACCCAGACAATTAAAAATTACAAGTTCTCAGTTGGGAGATGATTCTAGGTCTAACAAAAACCCCGACCCTGAAAACTCAAATCCCTGCAAAACTTGAAATCATGCAAATAAGTTGGAGTAAGGGGTCTGCGTAAATGGTCTCTTAAGAAGCTTAGTTATGT